CGCGCGCGCCGGCCCGCAGCGTGTCGGCGTCCGGGCCGCCCTCCGCGCCGGGGGACTCTGCGGGCAAAGAAGCGGGACACAGCGTTAGCGCTTGCGGGGCGACTCGCCGGGCACCCACACATCCTGCACCTGCACCCCGGGGACGAGCAGAACCGCCCTCCAACCCTCGGTCCTTCCTCCCTTAGGAGAGACAGCCAGCGCGGGTACCCGCGGCCTTAGCTGGTGCCCTGCCGATGCTCACTCTGCTTGTGAGCAAACTGGAGCTCCCGGGTGCAGCCGTGGGCTACAGACGAATGAAATCCTCCGCCGTGTGTGGATATGTAGTTTCAGTTCTCTTGAGTATGTACCTAAGAGTGGGATTTCTGGGTCATTTGATAAAGTACGCTGAACGTCGTAGGGAACCGCCAAGCGGTTTTTCCACAGTGGCTGCTCCATTTTACACGCCCACCAGCCGTGCACAAGGGGCCTGATTTGTCCACATCCTCAACACTTGTTACTCTCTGTTTGATCTTAGCTATCCTGTTGGACATAAAAATATCTTGTGGTTTTGATTTGCATTTCCTTGATGACTAGTGATTTTGAACATCTTTTCGTGTGTGTCATTTGTGTATCTTCTTTGAGAAAAATGTCTACTCAGATCCTTCGGCCACTTTTAAGTTGGGTTAGCTGTCTTTTTACTGTTCAGTTATAGGAGTTCTTTATATATCTGTATTAACGTCCCTTACCAGATACATGACCAGCAAATATGTTTTCTTTTGTTTTGTGACTTGTCTTTTCACTTCGTTGATAGTGTCTTTTGAATTACAAGTTTTTAATTTTGATGAGGTCCAGTTTATCTATTTTTCTTTGTGATTTGTGCTTTTGAGAATCCATGCTCTAACCCAAAGTTTCTGAGGAACCTTCTCTAAGAAACCGTTGCTTAATCCAAAGTCGTAAAGACTTAACAGTTATGTTTTGCTCTAAGAGTCTTATCACCTCAGTCCCCACATTTAGGTCTGTCATTCATTTTGAGTTAGCTTTTTGCACGTGGTGTTAGGTAGGGGTCCAATCTGACTTTTTAAACTTGTGGGTATCTGGTAGGGTCAGCACCATTTGTTGGAAGAGAGATTATTCTTTCTCCACTGAAGGGTCCCGGCACCAGACTTACAGTTTTCCTTCTAGACTTCCAATCCAGTCTGCTGATCAGTGTGTCTACCTTTATGCCAGTACCACACAGTTTTGACTACTGCGGCTATGTACAACATTTTGAAGTCATGAAGGGTGAGACCTCCAACTTCATTCTTCCCAAGACTGTTTTGGCTATCTGCAGCCCTTTGCATTTCCATATGAATGTTGGGATCCACTTGTCAATTTCTGCTAGAGGCGGCCATCTGGATTTTGGGAGAAATTGTGTTGAATCTGTAGATCAACTCGGGGAGCACTGGCATCCTGTCAACACTGAGTCTTTCAATCCATGAACACAAATGCCTTCCCATTTATGGGAGTCTTCCACAAAGCCTTCCAACAATGTCTTGTGGTTTTCACCGTGCATGTCTTGCCCTTCTTTTGTTAAAGTTACTCCTAACTATTTGATTCTTTTTGATGCTATGATAAATAGAATTTAGATTTCATTCTTTATTTGGTTCTTGTATTGTGCATCGTTAGTATATAGAAATACAATAAAGTTTTGTGTACTGATCTCGAATCCTTGCCAAAATTGTCTATTAGCTCTAATAGCTTTTCTCATGGATTCCTTACGACTTCATGTCCTTTACAAATAAAGATAATTTTACTTCTTCCTTTTTAATCTGGATACTTTTTACTCTTTTCCGTGTCTAACAGCCTTGGTTCAGACCTGCACTACAGTCTTGAACAAAAGTGGTAAGAGGACATCTTCATCTCATTACTGATCTTAGGGAAGACTTCCATTACTTCACCATTAAACGTGATGTTAGCTGTGAGCTTTTTGTAGATGCCTCTTTTCACATGAGGAAGCTCCCTTTCATTTCTAATTTGTTCACTGTTTTAACTAAGAAAGTGTGTTGGATTTTTTCAAACGCTTTTCCTGTGTCCATTGAGATGATTATGTGTTTCTTTCTCCTTTATTCTGTTATTACGGTCTGTTACATTCATCTTTATCTATTGAACGGACCTTAAATTCCTGGGATAAATCTTACTTGGTCATAGTATATAATAATTTTATATCTAATTGGATTAGATACGCTAATGTTTTGTTGAATATTTTCTGCATTTACATTCACATTCCTGAAATTGTGTAAACTCTTTGTGTCTTTCTATGTGCATTTCCTTCTAAATTCTTAAGCAGAGCATAGCATAGACTGATATATGTTGCATAAGTCAATGGAGTTTTTTAATATCTAAATTCTAGTCTCTTCACACAGATCTCAGTAGGAAATTTCCATAAATTATTTATTACCCAATTCTCATACATGGAGTTCCATTTTTCAACATACAATCCTTCAGTGAATTTCCTTTCTCACACGGATAATTGACCTACGAAGGTTTATTCACATGACTCTACTGATCTGAACTATATTCACCCCATTGTATTCTCCCCCAGGAAGAGATAGGAAGACACGTCTTTAGTCTGCATACTTTAAAAACAGGATTTTGCTTTGTTGTGCTATTTTGGGTTTGTTATTTTGGTAGTTTTTTTTAATGCACAAAAACCCCCAATCAACAGAATACCAATTAGACAGAAGTCTTTAGAGAAATAAAACCGCAAAAATGCTAAGGCACCTTTGGTGGTTGTATTTTAAAGCTCCCCGTACTTTGGGACTATAAGCTCTATCAGGATTGAGACTACATAGAAAATGAGAAACCTAAAGATTTACATTTAAAGTAGGATTATATTGAAATTAGTAACTGGGAAAACTTAACCTGATTGGTCATTGTGAATAATAAGATCACTGAAGGAAGGGAAGAACCATGTTCATTAGAAGACGATGCTGAACCATTTTTCCAAAGCACATTGGCATAAATAATAATCATTAATTGGATTAGCCATGACCAGTATTATATTGTTTATATTGTGTATTTTACCACGAGTGCTTTGAGGACAGGTAGAATAGTCATTTAAAAGGTCCGATGAACTGTAAGTGCATATATTAGGGACCACTAAACATTTTTGAATGAATGGGTAACTCAATGATTCAACATAGCTAACAAGAAATAAGCACTGGATAACTTGTTACAGTTCGGGACAACTTTCTTTGGAAAATTAACGGCTCTTTATTAGCCAAGCTTTTGGTCCATTTTACTGTAAGTTAGCAAAGGGAAGTTCTGCTTATACCCTCCAAATCTGAACACAAAACTGTAGTCTTTTTATACTCAGTAACTGACCTAAATGTGGCAGCAGAATTAGAACAGAAGCCATCCGGAAGTAAAGTTACCCGAACCGTGGAAAGTTTTATTAGTCTTTGATCAAGATACACCCCGCTAGGTACAGATGAAATGAATATTATTTTATTAGATTCAATTGCTTCAGGTTATAAACGTCACTGCTGAATTTCAGCTTTAATTTTTATGGCCTGAAAGAGATGCTTTTGAATATATCATTCCTGAATAAAAATATTAACATCTTCAATTCCGTGCTATTGTCCCCTTTGTATTAACTCATGGGAAAAGAAAAATGTATATAATAAAATGTATTATTCTACTTTTTTATTAAAATGCTCCTTTTCATACAATGCAATTTAGTGATTAAATCAACTTCCGTCATCTGTTGCTGACTTCTTCATAGATCAGACATCTGAACCTAAGTTATCTCTAAAAGTTTCCCTTTGTCAATTTCACACTTACTGATGGCAACTTTCTATTTTGGATCACAGACATTTCTGAACATGTCTTGTCTCTCCTGTCAAAGACTGGAGTCCCTGAGGGCATGAAGTTGTGTGTGTCCTGTGTCTGCTTCGTTTATTGACCACATCTGTCCTCAGGGCTGGGGAAACAGTGCACACAGACATCTGGCAGTGGGTGCGGGAAGAGATCTGGGGGCAGACAGAACCATCACGCCACGCACAGATCACGCCCACTCTGCAGAAGTATCGCTCTGCGGTTTGCAGACCCCTGGGACGATCAGTTATTCACTCTGCTCAAACCAAGGATCAGTCAGGCCAGAGAGTGGAGCTCAGTATTAGATAAAAAGGGGAGGAAATTCTTCTCCATTTCGGTGTTAAAACCAATTATAATATTTGTTCAGCTGACAGCCAAGGATGAGGTTCTGGCCCACTGTTTTCTAAAACTCCAAGTGGTCTTTGAACTTGTAGGAATTTCACAGCCTCCATCTGAATGCATACTGTTAATTCTCACCGGCGAAAGTTGAAGGAGCAATTTCTTTCTTTTCATTGTTTTTCCAATCCTTTTTGGTTTACTATATTGTGCCACTATTTTATTTGTGTGTTAACTGCTTGATCCCTAGCCCACGTGTGGGGAAGGGGACTCGACCAACGAACCACACGAAAGGACTTTCAGCACACGCTGCCTCTCGGTCAGTACATCCTCAAGGCCAGGTTCTTCATCCACCTTTAAGGCATGATTACAGTGGAGGACCACCACCGCTTGGTTCTTCACATTCCGCAGTAAAACTACATTCTTACCCTCCTTACTTGGCTTAACCTGCCTCTCTGACAGCTGAGCTGTTTAACATTTAGGCTGCAGCATCGAAATATTACACTTCTGTTTTTACTATTTATAAGAGCGCCCCAGAAGCGAACGAGGATTCCTGACATTTCCTTTGTCAGAAGAATAAGAAGTCATCATTTCATTGTCTGTCATCTCTATGAAAGACGTGATCGTTTGTTTTAACAAAGAAATGTATATATATATATATTCTATTTTATTTTATTTTCATTTCTTTGGGGTTTTTTGTGGGGGAGGTAATTGGGGCTTTATTTATTTATTCATATGGAGGTACTGGGGATTGAACCCAGGACCTTGTGGGTGCTAAGCACGCACTCTACCCCTGAACTGTACCCTCACCGTGATCATTTTAATAGTTTCTATGCTTCTCAACTGATTTTGAGCACCCATTCACGTGCCTTCTCTAACATTCTCAAGTTCATGATGCAATACAAACGTGGGGTAGAAGAAGCGACCAAAAGAATCAGTGTAGAAATGGCTGAACAGCTAATAAAGATGCCACCAGTTATTTCAGACAAAAGAGAGCCAGATGTGCACCAGAGCAGGAGTGATAAACCTGCCACCAGAGGGTTCCCCCCAATAACATTTCATTTTTAATAAAAGATAGAGTTTCTATATCCCTTTCGATATTTGCTTTTATTTCCATGTAATTCTTGGTGACGAGGGGGGAAAAGGCATAAAGAGTTTGCCATCTAGATAGTAAAGCCGGCTTTTCCTTCGGCATCTTTATGGAGAGTAACTGGCAGTCATAAAGGATGCCTGTGGGATGCTTAGGTTGTGATTTTCCAAGAGGAGCCGGGAGCAACGGACACGTGTCACTGCAGCCCCCGACGAAGGCAGGTCCCAGGCCACAGCCCAAAGCGTATTCGTTGGCTAAGAAAAAAACAAGCAGCTTTGTCTCTTCTTCTTTTCCTAAACATAAACCTAGATTTATCATTAAATGATTGCTGCATTTGACCCCGATGCTTCTAGCATTGGTGAACTTGAGATCTGCTTTAATTTTGTCTTTCGTGAACTGTTAGAAAAATGCCGAGTTCCATCATGTTTGATGGCCAAGTGGGGCAAGTGTGGCGGTATTTCTCCTGGATAAAACCCTGGCTCATTTCGCAGGCAGCACTGACTTGTGATTGTAATGTGCACTCAGACAAGAGTATAAGCTTCTACCTTGACTGTCACTCACTCGGAAGGCATGCATATGTCAAGGAGCTTTTTTCAGCATGATGAATGCCTCCTGTGTTTGCAACCCACCACTTCGGATCCATGTCACGGGGCAGCGGAGGGAGGGGGGGACCCTTTTCCTTCCACTTACCTAAGATCGTCCCCAACACAAGGGACTTGACAGCATTGAATTCTGTCCCCGACGACAGGATGACTTGTCTCCTTGTATTCTGGTTAACCTGTTAGATGTTCCACAAGAAACAAAATGGCAAGCAATTTGGAAGATAAGGGGATGGGGACTCAAAGGAAGACCGAGAAAAATGATAAAATAAGTAAATAAATACATAAGCCACACGTTCATGCTATCACAAAGGTTAAAGGGGAAGTCTGTTTTATAAACAATTTTTATGATACCTCACATTCCACTCGACCCTTCACCTCTCCCTCTCCCTACACTTCCTTCATGATTTAAGTGTCCATAATTGGTCCAGTCCGCAAAGAGAGGCAATAGCTATTTTGAACCTTCGAGCTTTTACTTATTTAGAAAGGAAATTTGTAACATGAGCAGAAAAATGTATTATTCATACAGATTCAATACAAAAGATTATTCTTCAAAACCCAGTGACAATGCGTAATTTCAAAACCCAGTGACAATGCATAATTTAAATACTCTGATGTTTTTCAAAATGCATTCCCACTTTAAGCAAGAGCTTGCTTTTCCCCTTGCGGTTAAACTTCGGTAACATTTGTTCTTTTGTAATTCAGTGCGGATAGGTCCCCACTAGAATATCGCCAGTAGTCACTGGGATAAACTAGACAGTATTTCCAACCAAATAAAGGAAAACCAGTGAGAAGACCATAGTATTTCAAATGGTCAAATACTAATAACTTCGACAGTCTTTTTCTAAACAAACATTGCTAAACAAAACACCTCGGCTACATTTTCTGTCCTAGCAAGACTTACGGAAGGACAGTGCTCAACGTGCATCTCTTTTGTTTGGAGTTATCATTAACTTTTTGCTTTAGGTGGTACATTCTGAGCATCACAATTTTGACTCCTGTACCTGTTGTTAACGTACAACTTACCTCTACAGAGACCACTGCTGCTTCTCTGTTAATCTTCACCTGATGAAGCTGGCCATCAGCCAGGTTTTTAAAACCAAAGTTAAAAACATCAGGTTCCTGGTGTCTGTCTAGCTTATATCTGATCTGCAAACTTCCTAAAAAAGAGAAAAATGACATTTTCCCCTAAAATAGAATTTTATTATAAAAACTGCCAATGCAGGTTCTAAGGCACATTTTTTAAAAAAAATTTAATACAATTTGAATCTAAGGAGCATTTACTGGAATGCACCCATAGTCGCTTTTCCTGGACTGGTCATCATTTATGTGCTGTTCTGGGGCCAGGTTCAGAATCCGGTTCCACAATCTGGAAAGTCAAGACCACATGGTCTTTTTCTAAGAGCTTCCATTTTCCTTAACCAGAGGAAAAAGTCTAAGTTATGCATATGAAAGCGCGAAGCTATGCTCAACATTCATTATTCATGTGGTGTTCGTATTATTAAATGGTAAAACCTCAAGCAACATTACATTAACATTCAGCTTCTATAAGCATAACTTCTTTTAATATGACTCGTTTTAATGTATTTTAAGATATCGCTGGCATTCACAAATTAATGGGGTTTTTTTTTGCACAACCAGAAATTTTTTCTAATGCTTCTGCCATAATCAAGGAGCCGAAAAAAGCAAGAAGTGAGTGATTTAGTACAATATCCAAATCTTCTGACTCACATACTGTTCTCCTTCACAGATGGATTCTCTCTACCCAGTGACCACCTATAAGGTACCACGGTCCCGCCTGTAAGGGATTCTAGCAGTCAGAGATTCTGGAAGGCTCCCCGCATTCTCAACATTAAAGCTTGGTTTGTTCTCTGATTGGGAAAGTCTTGGTTCTGTTCTCCTACGGGTGGCCGTGGGCGGGGTCACTGTCATCCCCCTTTCCTTTGTATGTGGTTATGACACAACTGACTTCTCAACCACTGATGCAGGTAAAGAACAAACATATTTATCTGATGCTCACGGAAACGGGCCTTTACATGGTTTCATGTACATCTTTACTTCACTTCCAAGGAGGGAGGAACATTTCCCATGTATAAAGTGAAGTATCTTGTTTCAAAATGAAACGTAACGCTAATTTATTCACGTGCAGAAGGAAAGGCCCCCTTTTCTTTTTAAATAGAGGCACGGGGTATCGAACCCAGGACCTCGTGCGTGGTAAGCACGCGCTCTACCACTGAGCCACCGCCTCCCCCAGGAAGGGCCGCTTAACAAGAAACAGCAGCACAGCTGGACTTCAAACGCATCAAACGCTCAAGCTTCGATGGCAGCAAGGCGTCTTACAGTAATCGCTGAAACGTCAACCTCAGTGATAAAACAGTTGGGGTTACAATGAAAAATAAACCAACGCTAATAACACGAGAGCAGGCGGAGGATGCACTTGTGTTCCCTTGTTTACAGCTGAGCACTGAAAGGGCCCCCTCCTTATGGCCCTAACTTTCTAGGTCAGTTTTCTTGTTCTTACAGTGAAGTCACTCACCGTTCGGGGCGAGGATAACGGACAGGTACTCCTCGTGGAAGGAGCTGACGTAGAGCAGTAAGCTGGGGGTCCCCGTGGTCCGGAAGCTCAGTGCGGCCATGTCTCTGGTCAGTGTCAGGTCCTCACGCAGTAAAGACGCGAAGGAGCTGGAGTTCTTACTAAGGGTGTAATTGTAGTGCTCTTGAAAACTGTAGGTAACCGAGGAGCCGCTTTCAAAATAGGCAGACACCTCTGGAATGACAAGTGTTTTTTGTTGTATCAGCGAGATGTACGTTCAAGTGTCTTGTTTTTTTTGCACATTTATGTATATTTGAAGAGTTTCTTTAATCTTTAAATACCTCCAGAGAGAAAATAATAATGGGGTATATGCTTTGCTGTTTTTTTTTTAATTTAAAAACATTGCAGATGCATTTTTTAAAAAGTAAAAGCAGAAGAAAGGGAAAAAATAAAAACATGTGAGATTAAAAACAAGAAAGTATAGAGGCAGGTGGCCGGTTGGGAAGACAGAGCCGACAGGATGGCCTAATGGACTGGATTCCCGAAAGCATCTCCAGTTTTCATCCTGAGCATCTGAAATTGCGGGTCTGCCGTCCAGACCGATCGACAGGGGACGGCTGTGGGCTGAACAGGCTTTGGGGGTGATCAGGGCGAGTGTGCTCATTTTGAGATGTCTGCTGGACCTCTTGTAACAGAGAACAGATCTGACTGTATGGGGGAATTTGATCTGTTCCTTTAGTCTTACCACCTGCCCTGTTTTCTGGGCTCAGTCCTGCTCGCCCTGCATCTTTTGTAAAACAATGTTGCCTTTAGCCTGAAATACCCAGGAGAGCCTATTGTCCGGGCTCTGACCTTTAAGGATGTCAGCACTTCCGCACTTCTGCAGAGATAACAAGTTGCAAAATAGAGAATAACCTTTGTTTTGTTGGAGGTTTACAGGGACACCATGGCCTGACCCAGGGGACGCTTCAAGAAAAAGAATTCCTGCAGCAAGAAGTTTGCAACAACCAACCACACCCCTCCCTTGTGTTTTCTGTAGAAAAGGAGCCTGTATTCTGACTGCAGCAGGATGGTTCTCCAAGACATTAGCCTGCCATCCTCTCTGTCTGCCGGCTTTCCGAATAAAGTGGCTTTTCTTTGCACCAAAAAAAAAAAAAAGTATAAATAAAAATCCCTTCATGTTCCTGTAACCCAGAATTGAGTAACAATATTTTGTTATGGCCTCCAAAAGGCTCCATCTTTGATTTACATAAAATTAAAACGCCCAGGGAAAATGCTTAGTTAAAAGGTACTGCTCTGCCCGAGGTGTTGCGGTGAGGACTCTGAGAAATCCAGAGGGGATGAGAGCAGATCTAACAGCAGCAGTCCTGGCTTCTCCAGAATACAGTCACACCTCCTTCCAAGTGAAATGGAGGCTTTGCGGACAGAAACAATTCTATTTCAGCTAATTACAGAGCTGCCTTTACAGCGTGAGATGCCAGAAATGGTCTTCATAGCGATCAAGGGCTCCACCTGTTCCCTGTAACCTGCTCCTTGGTGACACTCACCATGCTCACAGAATGGCCCGTCATACGCAGAGAAGGTGCAGTCGCAAGCGATCCCTCTGCGTTTTTCTCTGCACCTCCCTCCATTGCGACACAGGTGTCCGTAGCTGCTACAGTGTCCTGGACACCCTGGCTCCACTCCTGGTGTCATTGTGGCTCTCTCTTCCAGATCCAGGGCCAGCCCGTTCAACCGCAGAGACCGGATGCATCCTAGGAAGCCTCTCTGCCTGCTGGCTGTTCCACCTGCGAGGGAAACACTGCTGCATTCCTGGGTGGCCACCCCCGGGTTTTGTCTCCACCTCGAACTCAGGCCACATGGATAATGATCTGTTCAAAGTTTTATGAACAAATCTAATTCCAAAAACACAGGCTGTGATCGAAGTGAAGAATCATCAAATGGCATTGAATACACCACTCATGAAAATATTTTTAAAGTTGAACTTGGTAAATATTTATTCTAAAAATACTTCCTCACATTATACTTAGACAGACTTACATTTTTACATTTGCTCCTTTCTTCAAGAGCAAAAGGAAGACCACCAATCCTTTTTAAGCTTTAAATTTATAAACGATGACATGCAAAATAAAGGTGACAGAGTGGACAATCTTTGCAATATAATATATATTACAAATGTGCAATATCTAAATTTGTATATTATTTAATATATAATATGCATTATAAATTTGAATATATTTGTATAATATATGCATTATAAGTTTATATATGTATATATAATACTAATTCTCACTTAGAAAAGCTCTCAATAATAAAGCTATGAAAAGGAATTGAACAGAGGACGAACAGAGAAGGAAGGTGGGATAAAACCAAAATTTAGGTCCTCAGGTGTTCCTTACTCCATCCTGGTCTGAGGTCAGGTGGTACCACATTAACAGAATATCATCTCTTTCTATTTCTATCATTTATTAGACATGAGTCTAATAAATATGGGAGCACAGGAGTCATCTGGAGTGCTTGCTAAAAACCAGATTTTGGATTTGCTCCAAAAGATTCTGATTCAGTGGGCCTGGGGCAGGTGCCCCGAATCTGAATTTGCAACCAACTTCTCAGGCTTTAGAAACACTATCCTAGTGGGAATACTGCTTCTAGGTAGATTTCCATGCAGACTTTGTTCCTAGAAATTCTGTTCATTAGTTCTCAAGATTATTAAATCAGAAAATAAAATTGTTTAATTTGATCTGCAGTTAGATATCAATGCAGTAAGAACTAACTACGCTTGCAGCTGAGTTTGATGGTGCTGTGGGCTGTACACACACACACACTTAAATTCATTGCAGAGCATTAGCCACTGGATGCTGAAGGTATTGCAAAGCAAACTGTGTGCTACTTTGTAATTTATATCAGCTTTTAACTGGACTGTATCCTTACTTACTTTAAAATACATGAGAAAAGACCAAGTGAGAGCTGCTTGGATAATCTGCTTAGTTTCCAAATTAGAACAGAGTTGTCAAGATAGTAATGTAGCAAAACTTATTTCTCACTTTAGGAAAAACAAAAAATAATAAAGAATAAGCAAATAAATTAGAGGGAAGCCCCCCCCCCCACTACTCAGAGCTTTAATCTTTAAAGAATAGACGGCGAAAATAAAGGTGGAAGTCCTGCTGTGTATAGTCACACGGGGCTGCCTCTGCCGCCCTGGTCTCCTACAGTCTGTTTTTTGGGGAAACTGGAGAATTTTGTCCCAGTTACAAGGCTGGTTCTCTAACTACACTGAGAAGTGAAATGAGAGAAATGGATAAAAATGGCTAATTGTTTGATAAACAGTACCGATAAAAAGTGACAGAAGTAGACATCTGCCGTCTATGACATGGAGGGCAAGCTTGGGAATCAGTCCAGCGTGGTTTGCATTTTCCCTCTAAGCTGGATTTCAGTGGCCAAGTCACTTGATCTCTCTAAGCCTCCATTATCTCATCTGTAGATTGGGTACAATAATCCATGGAAGAGAGACTGAATATTCAATGAGCTCTTGGTACCTGGTGTTTGTGTGGCTGAACCACACTAACTCCATTTTTTTTGTCAGCTCCATCTTAGACCCTCAGTTGTACCTCCTCCCCCTTCTGCGTGACTGAGCCCTAGCCTGTTCACAAGGAACGCTCCCACGCCAGATATGTTCCCTGTCCACTCTAACCCTTGCCTTCATCTGATAGGAAAACTAGAAGAATGCTTTTTGCTGATGCGGATGGTCATGAAACCCCTTCTCTCCCCAGAAAAAAATCCCAGTTCTCAAAGGTGTGGACGTGCTTCTTACTTGGTAGTCATATTCTGTTTTTAGTTGTGGCCCTTTTAAATCCCCCTGTAACCTTCTCCATGATCAGAAAACAGCCACCAATGCCTTCTGGGTCACAGTCCGCAGGATCTGGCGGTGGCGGGGGTGGGGATGTTTGTTACCCACAGTAAACTTGCTGGTTGTATTTTATGGAGTTGCCCATTTCGTTTCCCAGTCTCAAAGTTCCTCCTCAGTTTGGAGGATCGTATTCACCACCTCCCCCTCCCCCCAGTGCTGCCAGTGGAAGTTGCTGGCAAAGGCGAGGGCCACTACTTTGGCAGCTGTGATTTCCCCCGGGGGCATCTCTGTACCCCCAGCCCAGCGCGGCTGCAAAGCCCCCGCACAGCGCTCACCCACAAAGAGCTGGCTGTTGAGCTGCAAGCGGGCGTGCCCGTCAGCCGGGGCCGGCTGGGTCTTGCTGGGGAGCTGATCCACTTTCAGCGATGCTTCTTTGACGTTCCTCTCCGCCCTCACACGGTGCCACCGATTGTCATTGAAGGGAGTGGGGGCCTCCACCGTGACCTCACAAGGCCCATTCCCCACGTCGAAGGAAAAGGTCACCTCTGCGGGAGCTGGAAATAAAGATATAAGGGGTGCTCAATTCCTTCAGGGGGGAGAAAATTTAGTCTTGAGTAGACAGGAGAAAAGCACCAAGACGTGCTCCTTGTGAACGGAGACCAGACACTGATGCGGACAAATGTCACTCTGAGTTGGTTGGTGGGGTGGGAAGGGAGATAAATCTGTATCCCAGAGAAAGAAAAGCAAAACTGATTTTTACACATTTCTCCTCAGAGTTTGCTATTTATCTTGCTAAGCCCTAAGCAGCAGAGATAATCACCTATAGAAATAAAACTGTCATTTTATCTACTCATGTGTGTGAGTTTATTTATAGGTGGTTCAAGAGAAACCATGGCCCATAGATGGACCTAGAGATCTTCATATTAGGTGAAGTAAGTCAGACAGACAAAGGTTACATGATATCGCTTATATGTGGAATCTAAAAAAGACACAGATGAACTTACTTACAAAGCAGAAACAGACTCGCAGACATAGAAAGCAAATTTAAGATGATCAAAGGGGAAGGAGGGATAAATTGGGAGTATAGGATTAACAGATGCACACTAACATATATAAAATAGTCAAACAGCAAGACTTTACTGTACAGCACAGGGAACTATATTCAATATCTTGTAATAAACTACAATGGAAAAAGAGAAAAGGAATACAGATATATACATATATACGTGTAACTGAACCACTGCTATACACTTGAAACTAACAATGTTGTAAATCAACTACAATTAAAAAATGTTTGAAACTCATTAAAAATAAAGGGGGATTAAATATAGCTTTAAAAACACCATGTGAAATTCAGACAGTAAGGAATTAAGTTCTGCCTACATAAATAAACAATGTGAATAGTCAATAAAATCAAATGCTTCTGTGACTTAGTGAGTAGCTATTTGACTAGATTGCTTTAATACCTCGATTGCACATAGAGTGAAGACAGCAAGGAATTGGAGAGACTGTTGCGTGTTTCACCAATCACTGTTTTACTCTCTGTTAAAAGTAATTATTTAAAATCATAGAATTTTAGCATTTAATAAAGAAATACAACTGACCAAGGAGGCATGGTAATTTATCAGGAGCTAGGTTACTAAATGGGTGGCTGCTAATTGCTGAGTGCCCGATGGCTCTATCCAGAGGGGGCAACTCACCCCGCAGCTCGAGCCTGATGAAGTCTGTGATCCCCAGATTCTCTATAAACACCCCAGAGGATGCTGTGGTCTTAAAAAGGAAAGACACATCCGCAGTGAGCTCTCCTCGGAACGTAGGGAAGTGAAGGTACGAGGTCTCGGTATTGAAGGAAGCCGCATTCCAAAATGACTCTGTTGACAAAAAGCAAAAGGACAGTGAAAATAACAAAGAAACAAAACAAATCACAATGACATTTTATATTTCTAGCATTTTTTTAACCATTCAGTGCATTAATTGTTCTTCTGAACATGTAGCCAAGACATGAACATTCAAATAGTGATTCCTTTGAGGATTAAGATTCTGGACATGGCTGCGACTGAATTGGGGGATAATCACTATGAAAATGGTCTGTGGATTTTTTAAAACTGTATTATTTTTTTAAATTATCATAGAGGGAAACTGACTTTGGAGGAACATACCGTTGTATACATTTTAATATATGCATTTGGGTAACCATCACCAAAATCAGAATAAAGGACATTTCTATCACCGCAAAAAACTCTTGACTATTCCCTTATAGTCACACTCTCCACCTACCCCTGAGCCCTGACAATCATGAGCTAGCCTCTGTCCATATAGTTTTGCTTTTTCCAAATAGTGTGTAAATGGAGTCAGGCAGTATGCAACTCTTTGAGATTGGCTTCTTTCACTCAATATAAAGCCTTCAAGACTCACTTGAATTGTTGCATGTCAATAGCTGTTCCTTTTACACTGCTCTACAGCATTCCATCATATGGATGTGCTACAGTTTATTTGTCCACATTTAAGAACACTAGAGTGGTTTCCAGATTTGATCAGTTACACATAGAGCTGCTATAAACATCTGTGCAAAGATTTTTGTGTGAATATGTCTTCATTTCTCTAGGGCAAATTCCCAGGAGTAGAATTTCTAGATCATATGCTAAGTATATGTTTAACTTCAAAAGACACTGCCAAATAGTTTTCCAGAATGGCCATATCATTTTTTAATTCCCATCAACAATGTATAAGAGATATAATTGTTTCATATCTTCACCAGCATTTGGTGGTGTTAATTTTTTATTTTAGCAATTCAAATTGGTGTGTAGTAGTATCTCACTGTGGTTTTAATTTGCCTTCCCTAATAGCTAATGATGTTGAACATCTTCTCATGGGCTTATCTGCCATTCTTACATCCTCTTTGGTGAAGTGGGTGTTCAACGTGGAAAGAGTTGACATCTTTCCCTATGTTGAGTCTTCCAACCCATGAACACAGTATTTCTCTCCATTTACTTAGGTTTTTTGATTCCTTTCTTCAGTATTTAGGTGTTTTAGTTTTCAGATTTTATGTATGTTTTTGTTATATGTATACCTAAGTATTATATTCTTTGGAGCTATTAAAAATCATATTGCTTTATAAATTTTAATTTCCAGTTGTACACTGCTAACATGCATGATTGATTGTTAGCAGTGACCTTGTATCCTGTAATCTTGTTAAGCTCACTTATAAGATCCAGTAGTTGTTTTTTTGTTTTTCTGTTCTTTTGCACATTCTTAGAGATTTTCTACATAGGCAATCATATGAATATCTGTAAATAGACTTTCCTTTCTTGCTTTCCAATCTGTATGCACTTACTTTCCTCCTTACATTATTGCACTGGCTAGAACTTCCTGTATGATAGATGTTGTTGAATAGACGTGGTGAGACTGGATATCCTTATCTTGTTCTCAGTCTCAGGCGGAAAGCATTTGGTTTTTCATCAATAATTATGATGTTAGCTGTTTTGGTCAGATAGCCATTAATTAGACTGAAGAATATCCCTTGTACCCTTAGTTTGCTAAGAGGTTTATTGTGAGTGCTATCATGATATAAATTATCATGTTGAATTTATCATAATTCAAATTATTGCATTCATGCTGATACACAAAAAGCATCTGATGTGATTTTTCTCCTTTACATTGTTAATATGGTAGATTACATTGGTTCATTTCCAAAGACTGAATCAGTCTTGCATCCTAGGATAAACTGCAGTTGGTGGTGGTGTGTGCTTTCCTAGATTATTTGCTAATGTTTTGTTGAGGATTTCTGCATCTGTGTTGGTGATAATATTACAGGTAGTTATCATTTTTTGCACTTTCTTTGTCTAGTTTGGATATTAGAGTAATGTTCTCCTTAAAATGTTAGAAAGAATTTCTGCTATTTTCTGGAAGAAATTGTGTAGATGTATGATTATTTTTTTGGTGGAATCCACCAGTGAAACCATCTCAGTCTGGACTTCTTTCTCAGATGGTTTTTAATTACAAATTCAATTTCATGAATACTGTGAGGCCTATTTCAGTTGTATGTTTCATCTTGAGTGAGTTTTGGCTGTTCCTGGTTTTCAAGGAATTGCTCCATTTCACCTATGTTTAGAATTAATATGTGTAGGGTTGTTTGCAGTGCACTTTTATTATACTGCTGATGTCTGTGGGTTTGTAGTGTTGCCACAACTTCCATTTCTCATATTGGTAATCTTTATTTTCTCTTTTCTTGGATAGTGTTAGGGATTTATCAACTTCATTGATTTTTGAAAGAATCATTTTTTGTTTTCATAGATCTCTATGTGCTCTTTTAATTTAACTGATTTCTACTCTTGTCTTTATTAATTCTCTTCTTTTTACTTGCTTTAGGTTTATTTCTGTCTTTTTCTTCTAGCTTTTTTTCGGTGAAAGCTTGCCCCATTGAATTCAAATATTTTTTTCTTTCATAATATAATCATTTAATGCCATAGATAACCCTCTGAGCACTGCTATAACTGCAGACTGACAATTTTGACAAGCTGTATTTTCATTTTCACTTTAGTTCAATATATTTTACAGTATCTATTGAGACCTTGTCTTTGACTCATGTGTTAATAGTTCAGTGTTTAATTTCTAAGTGTTTGGAGACTTTCTCACTACCTTTATTTCCAATTTAATGCAATTATGTCAGAGAATGTATTTTGTATGATTTAAATCATTTGATATTTGCTAAAGTTTGTTTTATAACACAGAACATGCTGTATCTGTGTTAAAGATTCATGTGCATTTGAAAAGAATATATTTTGCTGTTGGTAGAGTGTTCTATAAATGTCAGTTAGATTCAGTTGGTTTGTGGTGACATTCAGGTCTTCTATATCCTTGCTGATTTTTTCTCTGTGAAAGAGGAGTACTGGATTCTTTAATTAAAATAATGGATTTTTCCTTTACATATTTTGAAGCTCAGTTATTAGCATACACATTTAAGATTCTTATGTCTTACTAGTCCTTTTCTATATCCCTTAGTTTTCTTTGCTTTTAAGCAAAGATTTTAGTATAGAAATTCCAGCTTTCTTTAAAATCCGTGTTTGCACAGTATATCTTTCTTCATCATTTCCTTTTATTATATCATTATATTTGAATTGAGTTTTCTGAAGACAGCATATAGTTGTCATTACAATCTGTCATTTAATTCATTTATTTAGACCACTTACATTAAATTCAAATGTTGATATGACAGATTCAGTTTTATTATTTTTCCTACTTGCTCTCATTTTTTGTTCTTTTGTTTCCCCTTTTCTGTCTCATTTTGGGTTATTTAAACATTATCAGTATTCTATTTGTATTTGCCTGTAGCAGTTTCTTAATTTTTTTAAGGATTACAATATATACTACCTTTCCCAATCTGCTTAGAATCTATATTTTAACAACTTCAAGTGATTTGTAAAAACCTTGACAACAGTTTCGTCTCTTTACCTAATCCTGCTTAAGTTATTCTTGCTACGTTTATTACATTTACATAAAATAAAACACCCTGTGAAATAATTTGGTATTTTTTGCTTTCAATCCTCAGCTATATTTAATACAACTCAATAGGAGAATCATCTATTAAATTAACCCAGGTATTTATCATTTCTAATGCTGATTTTTCTCTTCCTGAAGTTCCAAACTTCCATATGAAAATCATCTCCTTTCTATCTAAAAAACTTCCATTAGAAATTCTTTTAAAGGATTCCTCTAGCCATAAATGATTTTAGTTTTCTTTCATTTGAAATTTTAAAAAATTTTACCTTCATTCTTGAAGGATTTTTTTTTTTCCTGAATACAGAATTCTGGACTGACAATTCTTTACTTCCAGCACCTGAGAAATTTCTTGCCACTTCCTTCTGTCTTCTGTATTTCTGATGAAAACACTATCATCGGAATCGGTGTTTCTCCACAGGCAATGTATCATTATCCTCTCTGGCTGAGTTCAAAATTTTTCTCGTTGTCTTTAGTTTTCAGCAGTTTGATTATGATATACCTAGATGTGAATTTCTTTGAGCTCATCCTGTTTCAGCTTCATTCAACCTCTCAAGTCTCTCTCTCACCAAACTTACAAAGTGCTCAGCCATTATCTTTTCAAATATTTTTTTCAGCATCAACACTCCTTCCTCTCTTCTTCTGGAAATTCAATTACATGAATGTTATATCTTATTATTAACCCACAGGTCTCTGAGGCCGTGTTCATTTTTTTTTCCAATCCCTTTTCTTTCTCTGGTTCAGATTTGATAATTTCTATTCATCTGTCTTCAAGATCATTGACTGTTTCATCTCAAATCTGCTATTTAGCCCATTCAGTGGATTTCAGTCTAAGGAGCAACCGGAAGAATGGAGTTGCCATGCACTGAGCTGGGGAAGGTTGTTGTGGAAACTTTTTTTTTTCTTTTTCTTTTTCTTTTTTTTGAAAAGTTGAGTTTGAAATGCCAACTGGAATGAAGAAGCACTGAATAGCCAGCTGCATGCAGGAGTCGGGAGATCAGGGAGACTGGGTATAGGTATAGAAGCGGGGCTCATTTGATGTCAGTGTGGTATTTAAAGCCATGAGATGATGGGAAAAGACCACCAATGGAGAGCAGAGAGGAGAGAGAGCAGAGGGTAGAGCCTTGGGGAACCCCAACATCATCCCACTGATGAGATGCAGGAAAGCTGGGGAGACAAGGGAGGGAGGAAAACCAGAGTTTTGTGGCATGCTGGCCACCAAGTAAAGAAGGTGAATCAAAGGAGAGTGAATCACAAGAGGAATCCAAAGTTGCTGGCAGATCAATTCAGATTACATCTGAGAATAACACCTGGATTTAGCAACGTCGAGATCTCATTGGTGAGCTGGAGAAAAGCAATTTCTGGGGAGCGATGCTGGAGAAGGTCTGATACTCAAGAGTGACTAGAAGGAGGGAAATTAAGGGTAGAACTCACTTATTTCATCTTAGCTATTTTGGGGAAGCGAAAGAGACACGAGAAATCCAGATGCAGTTGGAGGGGTAGGTAGGAGAGAGGAGGCTTCCCATGTAAACATTCAGAAGGCATTAATGAATAGGTGCCCTTGAAGGGGTCTGTCACTTCATTTTCTCAGCATCTTACCAATTTTGGGCCTCTCAGCACTCAGGAAAGTGCTTTATACCTAGTAGATAGATAAGAGATATTTGCTGAACACGTGATACGATATTTCAGATGATCCCATGAGTCTTCACAGCAGTAGTAAATGCCATATAAAAGACAGATAATCCAGAGGTAATAGATTTTTTTCTCAATGAGATTAACAATATATACTTCTTTTATAAAGTGAATGCATTCTTAATGAAGTAGAGATGATCAGTGTAGTGTTTTTATGAACCCGTGCAGCTAGATTTCTCATAAAACACTGACATGCAGGGGACAAGACGGTTCCTCTTGCCACTACTTACTGTCCCCTGAGCAGAGCAGAGGCCCCAGTGCATAAGCCACTTCAGAATGTGGTCGTCCCGTGTCTCTCGTCACAATCTGAGTGACCGGCAGCTTCTCCTTATGGGAAAGGACCACCGTGTCGCTGGTCCTAGAAGACAAACACAATCACCCTGACATTATTCTGAATGATGAACGGATAAGTAATTGTTACTGCAGTTCAAGAGGTGTTTAAGCTAACTTTTGTAAATACGTAACAGTAGGGAAATCAAACGGTTCGTGTGAACACTTACATAATAAATATATTGAATAAGGTCATCTAAGGAGCAGAGACCAGTGTTCACCTACATGACCACAGAGAAGAAAGAAGGCATGTCTTCAAAACTGTGGTCCTGGGTACATGCCTGAGATTACATTTTGATGCAATTAAGCGACTCACTGCTCTTTGCAATTCAGCCACTGTGTGATACTTAAATGCGGAACTTACACAGGCGAGAACAATCTGCCTTCATAAAAAAAAAAAAAACACACAAACAAAACCACCTGACTGGCAAGACTTAGATTTTCAATTCTTGGACTTCACTCTTACTGAAGTTTTAGGAATTCCTACTGTGGTTATGAGTCATTTGTTAAAGCTATAAATTTAAAAATAAAAGCAAAACAAAACACAGATTCAAAACCACGATGAAGATGTGATACAATACACTCTCAACATTAATAAATGGGACAATACATAGGCAAGGGCTTTGTCAATGGTTACCATCATCCATTCATTCAACAAACACTTACTGCACATCTATTTGCCAGGCCCTGTGTGTTGGGGTTGGGGACATAAAAACCATCATCAATGCCCACTAAAAGCCTAGTGAATGTTATAAATAATAACAATAACAATATAAAAATATCTTCATGTGACTATTTGGGGGCATAGTAATACCTATGCTTCCAATTCATAGACTGGAACAGGAGCCAGGGTGCCTGGCTAGTAAACTGGCCGCACCGTCATTGTCCTCTCTGGACAAAGTAGGAAGGTTTCTCGAAACTTTGTAAAGTGTTCATATTTTTTATTGCATACTTCAATTACATATGTATTTTTGATGTATGGGCAAATAATAGTTTGTCTGATTTATCGTTCTGATTTATCGCCCTATATCTGTGCAGAACCTAGTAAGTTTTCATTCTTAACAATTTACAAAGCCACCACTCACTTCTGTGTATATAAATGGGAGCATTTGAAACCGCTACTTTCGCGGGTCAAAAAATCAGCAGTTTCACATTGCAGACAAAAAAAAATCTGCATAACTTAAGAGTTAATCATTCCAATTCTGCTTAGGCATCAGAATATTTTTTAAGATAGAAAATGTAAAATTACTAAGATTTGTATTTTGTTTTAAACTTTTAAGAAAGTGCATGTGGTGAAATGTGAAAAATGTGAACTAAAATACCCTGACAGTTAAGAAACAATGTTTCTGATTCAGATTGCTTCAAAGAGTCAGACTAAATTTAACAACATGGCTGTATCTGGCTGAGCCCCTGTGATTCCTGCTTTTGGGAGCAAAAAGGCAGATCATCCCAAACACAGAACACCTGGCTTTGTTGGGAACGGGGTCACATGCTAGAAGGTGCCACTGGATTACGGGGGTATGTCAGTCTGGAAATTTATTCTCTTATAAACATGGGGGTAATACACCAAGTTAATTCCTGGTATTAAATATCAGCAAATGTTCCAAATTAGTCCTTTAATTTCCATGATTGCTATTTTGATAGACCCATCTTAGAGGAAAAATGTAAGGATATTAGTTAATCACTGACGATCTTTGAATTTTAAAGCATCTTTTAAAAGCCATACTTTTGAACGTCATAAAAAGCTACACCTTAATTCTGTTTTTAACACTGACAATGCATACAGAGCCCTGAAAACGCTTTTTAAAAGATCATACTGATGCAGCATGTATTAAGGCAGATATTATAATCAAGTCTTTTTTTAACTTTGCTGTTTGCCAAGTATCTTCCTAAATCTGAGAAAATTTTAAACAGTTCTTATTTAAAAATTCTTTACTAGTACAGGTCACTCCCAGCTGCCCATGCTTTATGTAAGATATTCTATGCAACGGCCACCAGACTCCTTCACAACCGCCTCATTAGGAGTTATATCTCAGTTTCCTTCTTGCATCTCAGTTTTTTCCCTAAATTTGCAAAGATGGCATGGATATCTGGGCATGAAAATGTCTCGCAACAGTTTTATACATTCAGTAAGAGAATTTCCAAGTCCACTTTTTTTTTTTTTTTTTTTGGTTTTTAGTTGTTAATGCTCTGGAAATGGTTCTTACTGTTCATTGTTTCTCAGTAGACTTTGGAGGTCTAAGGGAGCTTTGACCACTTTGAGTTACTGTGAAAAGATGCCTTGGATCCATTTAAGTTTTATAATTGTTTGAGAGAAAGAGGGATTGGTGACACAGCATTTTCATCACCCAAAATTACATGGTTTGAAAGCTTCCAGGTTCTTCATTGGGTTCTGTTATTCTACTTGCATATCCTGTTGGCAGACCCACCCTGTATTGATAAGTGTGGCATCATAACACTTGAAGAAGTGTTTTGTGTCTGAAAAGGCTAGTCTCCCCACCATGTTTCCATCTTCAGAATTGTCTTAGCTTCTCATGCACCATTCTTTTCCATACAAATTTTAGAGCCAGTTCGTCACCATCCAAAACAAAAATACAGATGTTTAGCATCTGTTTGGAATTAAATGGAAACCAGGAACTCCTTTGGAGGAAAGATACTTAATTTTCCTATTCATGGCAGTAGTGTGACGTCTCCAGTTATCTAGGCCTTCTTGTATTTTCATTATCAAGTTTTATGATGTCTCTCCCATAAAAGTCTTGCAATTTTTTGTTATCTTTGTTCCAAGGTGTTACACTCTTTTTGTTGCTTTTGCAAGTGGTTTTTATAGTCGTATCTTATAGTCAAACATTCTTGATAAGAATCCAGTTATTCTAGGATTCAGTAAGTAAACGTACTAAACTCTCATTAATTTCAATAATATTTCCGTATATTATCTTGGCTTTGCTTTGTAGACAAGCATATTTTTTATGAATAATGTAATCTTTATTTCCTTGTTCCCAATCTTTCCAACTGTGGTTCTGAATTGCCTCATATATAATCTTTATCTTTCCATTATTCATTTGTAACTAACTGCATTGTAATCAGAGAAACTGTCCATATGATAACCACTGCTGTAAAAATCTTTTGAGTTTTGGGAAAATCAGTTTGCAAAACTGCACCATATGTGCTTGAGAAAATTCTGTATCCTACAAATGTATGTGCCCAACAAACTAAGTCATCAATTTCATTTGAAAATGTTCTCTATCCTCATTAATTTCTGCCACGTGAGTCACCAATTACAAACAGATGAATGTTTAAGCCTCTTCTTTTCATGGTTGTTTGTGAATTTCTTCTTTCAGTTCTGACAATTTTTTTTTTCTATAGACATTTTGAGTCATTTTTATTAGAAGCATGCAAGTTTAGGACTGCTAGATTTTTCCTACTAAAATTAAAAAGTACGATTGTACAGTAATAGTGATCTTTGTCCATGCAAAAGCCTTAAAAAATTTACTTACTTTTGTGTATACTTGCCTAGTAATTTTTTTTAGCACTTTGCTTTCAAGATTTCTTGGTGTATACAAACAAGATACATTTGTTCGTAATTCAATATGACATCTGGATTTAAATGGTTACTTTTGTCACATTTATTGAGTATGACTATTCACACATTTTTATCTTATTCTGTACTTGTTGCTTTCTTTTCTTCCTTTTAAGTCTCATTCCTATTTTCTGTTTATTAAGGAAGTTTTTAAAATCCCATTTGTTTCTTACTTCCTGCTACTGATTTGAATATTACATGCTGTTTTGATTCTTTAGAGGTCGGACTTAAAATTTTCACATACACACTTTAAGCAAGTTAATTCTAATAAGTATTTACAAAACAAGTTTTAAATTTCAAGAATAGTTTCATTTCTAAGCATTCTTTTAGTTCTTTTTGGAAACCACAATCACCTTTGTCCATCGGACCTGACTGCTCACTGATGTTTCCATTTCATGCCCACAGTCCTATGTTACTGGGTGTCTAGTATTTACCGCTTTTCTTTTTTAACGTCTACGTTTACAAAATTTTTTTCCCCCAATATTTCTGCTTCCAACTGAGACCTTCCTTATAAGATCACTTTCTTTCATTCTGAAAACCATTATTTTTGTTGTTGTTTTCAGATTCTTTTTCACCATAAGTTACTACAAGATATTGAATGAAAGCCATTCTTAAAAATTCCTCTTGCGGGTCGGCTGGTGGCACATTTCTTCAGTGTCTGTCTGTCTGGATCTTCATTTTATTCCACTTTTAGAAAGTGTCGGCTGGGTAGACCCCGGGAGTTTGACAGTTGTGCGGCTCCCGGGCTCTGAGCGGAAGGTCCACCGTCCGTGGGCTGGGTCCTGCGCTGCTCGGGGAGGTCAGCGGGCCGTCTGAGCATCTTTCCTTTCAAGATTCTCGCTTTCATCTCCACTCCTTTTCACATTCTCGTTAGTGTTCTTTGATTTCACCACGGTGTGTCTAGACACGGATTTACTCTTATATATCCTGCTTGGTGTTGCAGTGTTTTCTCAACTCGGGAAATGTCTCAGCTATTTGCGTGTCACCTCTTCTTAATTATCTCAAACCTTCGCTTTCGGTCTTGCCCGCACCTCCCCTCCATGTCGCTGCTTTCCTCGTCCCCATTTCGCTTGTCTCTGCTCTATATGTTCTGTGCCGTTCACTCACACATACGTGCCATCTCACGAGTTTTTCCATCACTTGTGTCTAGCACCTGATCCACAAGAGTTACAGTCTCAGTGATGACAATCACTGACAATTAATCATTCAATGAACAATCCTTTGACTCTTTCGTAAACCACGGTCGTCTTTGTCAGCAGTATCCGATGGCTTTCTCATATTTCAGTTCCAGTTTTTATTTTTCAAATAGCTCACTTATTTATTTACTTACTTACTTATTTTTTAAGGTATCCGTTACCTGGGATTTCCGCGAATCTGACCTTGGTGGTCTCTTCTGCCGCCCACTCCTCTCCTGCGGTGCTGTGTGACCCCGGGCCGTGAGCTGACGCCGGGTGACGTTTCATCTGTGGGAATCCGGTGACACCCGCATGAAGGGGGTGGGCAGGCCTCCAGGAAGAATTTCCCATGATCCTGGGATGGGCTCTGGGTGCTGCCAACCTGTGCCCATGTTCATTTCATTCAAGGACCATCCAGGTTGTGTAAATTTGGGCCCCAAATCTGTGTGAAGGCAGGTCTGCAGACATGAGTTTTCAGGGGACTACTGTTTCCTACCCAGAGGTAGAAAATGAAATATTTGTCCTCAGCCACCTTTTCTTTGGATTTGTAGCCTTCTGAGAACACCAGGTGCACGGACAGCTTGGTGTTCTGTATTTCCCCTTCCACAGACTCAAAGCCTTGTCTGGTCTCCCCTACGTGGCCGTTTAAAAAAACAACTGGACATTAGAAAGCTCAGCAAACAACACTGGCTCCCCCATGGGATGGTCCTATTAACCGGCTTAACCCAGCTTTCGGAAGTCCAATTTTTTTCACTTTCAACGATTGAGAAACATTAATCTGGTATTCCTATTTTGTCTCATTGGAAAAATAAAACGGGCCTGATTAGTTATTCACAGCTAGACAGAAATAGCTACTTTAACACAGCCAGCTTCAGGTGAATTATATCGTACACATCAATGCTTAGACTCATAACTCGCTAGGGAATAGTCTGCGCTCCTTGTGCGGCTGTGTTCCATGTCTGCCTAAGGTACACAGTTTAAGCAATTAAAAAAAAAATGACAGTTTGCACAGGGAAATTATATGGAATTCACCATTCATGGCGAGCAGCATCACAGTTGCAGTGATATTGAGAATCAATGCAGCTCCCCTCTAATCCACAAGTACATTTTTGAGCATCAGGCAGAGAACCTCCCCAGTAAGTGTGTGTTTCATTGGTTCTTCCAACCCACCAGCTCACTGGGGTTCCATCTGAAAGACAAGTATGAGAAACGTGACACCTACTTTGCCCCCCACTGCCTGCCTCCCCAGTACTGCTCCTTTACTTCCCTCTATTGAAAATGCAGAGACAGACTATTTAGAGGTGAGCATATTTTAACTATGCAATAGGGTCATTTTTAAGAGGGCTTCCAACTGTTTTCAAAATGTATTTTAATGTCAAGACTTACGCTGGCACCATATTTTTTTTTTCCTTTTCTTAGAAAATGAGCGAGCTGTCCCTAACTCATTCAGTCATGGTGTTTACATATTTCTCTTGAGGATTCCAATTACATAATTGATTTGAAAATAACATTCAAGAAGGAATTGCTATAAAAAAACAGTAATGTCTACACTGAACTTAAAATCTGTTTGAGATCCTAACTGCCACTGAAAACTTTTAAGTTATTCTGCGAACCTGGGATTTCTTTCACTGAATTTCTTAGCTGAAAACACTGGTGCTTCCTATCGTGTCTCAAGAGTTTCCTGGAGACACGTGCTGCTCTGTGTTTGGAAACTAAAGAAACGGCATTGAAAAGCCTTCTCCATGCCCGAGGTGTGTCTTTGGCTTGGTCAACGTGGAGACAACGACAGCTCAGTTCTTCAGCACAACCCCCATCTCAGTGGAACGCATAATTAAGGGACGGGGCCAGAGGCCACCTCAACCCTGCAGGACTGCTCATTTAGGCTAAGGAAGCTGCTGAAGCATTACAGCACCCCTGGGGGAGGATGATCAGAAAACACGGAGCACATGGGAGGGGGGAGGGGAAGGAGTCCCTGGTAAACAGAGTCAGGGCGGGGGCGGGGGGGGGGGACCAGAAGTGACATCGGATCACGGCTGTGCAGAGATGCCTGTCCGATGTAATGTGCTCTTCCAAGCTCTTCAGTCGTCCCCATCAGGCCCCCATCAAGAATCTGAAACAGTTTCTCCCTCACTTACAACCGCCACTGCACATTATGGTTTCCCCGTCAATGGGACGTCTGCTTCTGCTGACAACCTCTCCGCTTGTAAACACATCGACTGCATTCATTACCGCTCACCGCAGGCCCAGGGGGCGAGACGAGCGCCAAGAAATCAATATGAACCGTCTCTCTCTCTCTCTCTCTATTTTAATGTGTTGAAATTTTATCTCTAGGGGGTGGAAGATGGACCATCTTTTTGCCTTAACAGAGATTTAAAAGAGATTTTTTCCAAATTCGACACATCCTTGCACAGATTAAAGAGCAAAGGAATCATTCTACACAGATGCACAAGTGTGTATCTTCTCTCTAAAATAAGAACCAGCCAAGGGTTTTTAACGGTTAAAAATGCACTTGGCTCCATTCAAGATTCCTTAGAGTAACCTAGAGAATTTGCATAAGAAATGACTAAGAAGAATGAAGAAGAATTAGAGGCCGAAATGAAAAGAACAGGCAAGACATTAAGGACCAGGGCGCATGGACTCCACCTCCCCAGTTATTTAGCCCATGGGTCACTGCTCTTCTTTCCAGCCACAGCCACAGTCATCCGTGACCTTAAGCATTCACATATGATGACCGGAGTCTTTCCTAGAAACACTTACTCTTTAGTAACCGTATACCCTGCAAATATCTGTAAACTAGAGACCTTAAAGATGCCGAAGGAAAAATGTCCCAGGACCCTAGAGCGGTCTTAGGCCCGCTGCTCCTGGCTCCGCAGCTTTCTTAGAAAACAAAACTGACAGAGGAGCTGTTGTCCTGAGGCCTCAGACTTGCTGTATCTCCTCTCACGATTAACACCTGCATTATTAGTTAATTAGAAAAAAAGTGATCAATTTCCAGATAACTTCTGAGAATGTGAACAGTGGAAAATTCTTGAGATAAAACTAAATTTTGATGGACATCCCTCAGTCTACCCTGCAAAATTCCTAAGTTACTTGTGCCCCCGACCGCAGTCCCCTTGTGCTGTTTCCATGTTGCAACCACCTAGAGGCGTGTCCAGGCCAAGCCTTTCTTGTTTTCACTCCTCCCACACAACAGCACCATCAGAGCTCTGCACACCCAGGTGTGTCTGCGGATAACTCCGAGCAAACTAATGCGATGATTTTAAGGTGTGCAAGGCTACAGTACGTGCCAACTCCGTCGCTACCTGAATTAAGCACTTCTGGAAATATGTAGGTCTCTACTGAATTGTCTAAATTAATACTAAAAAGTCTCCAGTAGCAGCATATAGGAATGCAGATTACTTGAGCACGCATTGATAATGAAGTCCCTTATTTTGCTTCTTTAGCAGGTGTTGAGTAAAAGTCTTTTTTCTTTTCTCCTGGCCCCAGTTAAATACTTGTTTACATACTTCTTGTGGTTTCTGTTGTTGCTGTTTTATATATCTACATCGAAGGGCTAACAACGGAGTAATCACTTGCAGATCAATAGGCAGACATGACCCCTCCATGCGGGAGTCCCTTACTGATCTGGGTGGTGTCCAGGTTCCGGAACAGACCGTATGTTAGTTGGTAAGAGTTTGCTCCCTGACTCACTGGGTGCATTTGTTTAACGACTTTGGTAGTGGTTGATTCCAACGCTACTCTGTCTTCGCCTTGTTAGACAACCCGTAATAATTTACTCTCCTGGAGGCAGCTTTCTTATTCTTCTGGAAACATGCAACTTTAGTTCAGTGATCTATTTGGCAGCAATTAACTATCATTAAGTTCTAAACCCTTTGGCACTGACTATAAATGCAATAAACTAGAGAGAGGCAAAGAAGGAGCATTTACTTCTTGCAATTTATAGATGTTGTACAATCAAGTTCTGGCAAGGTTAGTGTCTTATCCCTGAAGACTCGGAAAGATGAAATGATTTCCCAAGTCCCGCAGCTGCTGAGTGACAGGCTACGAGCTTGAACTCAGAGGACCTGCCTGCCTCTTCCTGCTCATTCCACTACCCAGATGCCTGATCAGAGAGGGGGCAGGCCAGCCTCCAGAAAACCAAGTCATTTCATGAAGGCAGTGAAGGTGCACATTCCAACAAAATGGGGTATTTCAAAGGAAGAAAATACGAAACCAAAATAGGAATGTTCAAAAGTCGGGAAGATGTGAAAAATGAACTATTAGCAATTATGCTGTGTGAAAGAGCAGATGACACCAACATCACTCCCTAATTAATTATCCTGGACCCTAGCTGTATTCCGTCTATGAAAAATAATCACCTCCAGATAACTAAGCCATGTTGTTGTCAGCCATCCCTCCTGAGATAAAACAGAATTAAGATGTCACTGCCCTTCATGCTGGATGAGCACTGAGCATCCTGAGGGCCCAGCAAGGAGGCTTTTACTGCTCAGGGGCCCAGCTGAGTCTGGGAAGTCTGGGAACGAAACTTCAGATCATTCCCAGCATTGAGCAAAGGGCGACACATTGACCTTGCTCTTTGTTCCAAGGGAAGGTATCTCTGTCGTTTGCAGACTGGGACATGGGCACTATGGACACAGATTCTCATGCCTCTGTGGCTGGTCACTGTGACCTGTGGGAACCACAGCCCAGGATGGCTGATGACCCTAATGACTCACCGTGGCCAGTTGAAAGCCTTGACTTCTTGCAGTGGAAAGTCAGCTCCTGTTCGCAGCGGTCTGCGTGGTCAGTTACGGCCTGGAGCTGGTCCATGCCGGCTGCATACTTGAAAAACACTGGATGGGGGCTTTCTCCATTCGATCCTTTGACTCTGACCAAGTGGGAGCCGTTATGCTGCACTGAGGTCCAGGCGGTGTCTTGTGGGCAGAAACGGGGTTGGGAGGGAGAAAGGAGACTGTGATGAGGCTAATAATTAAAACATAAAGCTGAAAATCAAGAGCATATTTTATCTGAATTAAGGTTTTTATTTCTGTAGCCATCAGATCTCTTTGAAATTAGAATCAACAGGAGTGGAATTCTTAAAACGTTAGCAGTCAGAATTCTCTCCATTGAAATTTGCATTACCATTATTATAGTCAACATTGTCAGGGGGCCGATGTTTTAAATTCTGTGTTATAAATAGAACTTTTTGGCCTTTAGTTTTTTTCTTTCCATTACTGTAAGGAGAAAGCCAAAAGTTACTGTGTATATATTTATCTTTTTAATAAGCCGACTCCTCACCTAACTGAGCATCTTCTCTGATAATCAAAGAAATGTGCAAAAGACACATTTGAGGAACAAGCAGCTCACATGATCATGCAAAATTATAGAAAATAAGGATTTTTTTGACAAAAATTGACTAACAGTGCATCAGCACTTCATTCAGGGGCCAGCACCAAAAACCACAGTGCCTCAGAGCATCTCTTCCTGACGGTAACCATAGTGACACGAATCTCTGCTGGGAGATTCTGGCATATTCCTGTTACATTGATTACCTTTACTTTTTAAAGAGATTTTTTTAAAAAGTACACACTCCACAATGTTTGCAACAGAACAAAAACGCCTTGACTTCTTTTATCTTCCGCCAAACTTACCTCCCACCATGAAGGTATAAAAGCTCCCACAATATAAAAGGCCCACAGGTCAGTGGCTAAAAGGCTGAGTTCAAGTTGCCTTAATTCAATTATATTTATAACATCAAGTCACATAACTTCCTCTATAATATGTATTCGATCAAAAGATCCATCTACATGGAAACTTTCCATAACTGTTAGGTGTTAGATAAGTGGGAGCACCAGGCAGCTAAGGTGGAGGAGAGGGAGGAGGGTCCAGAAGGTGGCGTTGTGCCCGCCTCCAGCATAAAGGGGCTTGACTTCCTCTAAATGAGTGCCACCAAGAAACCGGTTAGAACCCGACAGCCGTGACTGCACGGTAGGTAGTGAGGACCTAACTGGACATGACCCGGTGCGCGCTGTAATATAACTAGCATTGCGGCTTAAGTCCCTGCGTGAGTTTCTCTGTGTGCATCATGGGTAAGGCCATGCACAAAAGGGCACGAGCATGACTCAGCCCTCCAGAGGCAAGAGCTGTCAATCAATCAAGAGACCACCTCTAAGTGAGGGTGCAAGAGGAGAGGGAAGACAGAGCCCGCCATTTCCCTCCCGTGGATCAGCCTGTGCCCCCCTTCTTAGAAGTGCACCTTCTCTTTCCTAAATAAAACCTTTAAAATCTTTCCCTACACCGTGTTCCGTCTCTCATCTGAATTTTTATCACTTGGTGTGACAAAGACTGGGGTCTCTTCCCTTCCCCTTGTGGGACAACAGTATGAAGGGCAGGGAACAGCCATGTGGCGTTTATTTTTTTATCATTTTTAATAGCTAATATAAGAGCAAGTTTCAAAAATCAAAACAATGTTACGAGGAACTCACTGAGGAGTCCCCACTGGTCCCTACCTCTTTCCTGCCCTGGACAAAAAATCTAACAGCCAAATGGGTTCTCGTGAACCCCTAACACACCGAATAAACCCAGAGATTCAGGAAGAAGAACCTCCAGGCCATGGAAAAAACTCTGGCTTAAAGCCTATGGGAAAAAAAATCACAGAATATGCAAAAACTAGCAAGAACAGGAACAAACCATGAGTTAGTGTGACTAATGAGGTTTATATTCAATTAGGAAAAAGGACTGAACAGATCATCTGCCTCTCTCTGCTCACTGAAGGGGGCTGTGAGTGTTCCCACGGCAACGTGAATTTCATAGATTGTTTTTCCCCCCCGAATCATGTTTTCTCTAGATACTTTATATTTCAACATTTTCCTGGAAAATTACGTAAGTGGGTCTGGCATGATTTTTTGTAATTATCTACTCCTGTTCACCCTCAGGGTTTCTTCCAGCAAATGAAATGAGGATAAAAGAAGCCACGCAGAAGGGCTGTGTCAGGCTTGGGAGTTCATCAATTATAATGTCATTGTGTCATTTATTTTCACGGCTTACGGCGCTAAGAAAAACCATGTGTCTCAATAGTTCATATAGGCTCGTGGTCGGTACGATAGATTTATGGGCTTGCGTGGTTAAGGTGTAATAACAGGAGTCTTATCAAGTGGAGAGAAGGGAAAAGTTGAAAAGGACCTCAAAACTACCCTTCTGAAAAAAGAAATAAATTATTGCCCTTTCTAGAAATATTATTTCAAAGACCCCAACAAAGACACATTATGGGTCCCTAATAGCCCACAATATATTATTTTCATAGTTTCAAAACTCTTAGCAGGAGGAAACCTTTGAAAAGCAGCATAACTTAGCTTTGCAGCACAAGGAGACAGACCAAGGGATTTCAGGCGCCAGCACGATGGGAAAATACTGAGCCGTTAGTCACTGTCATCTGAAGCACAAATTTAGATCTGAGGACATTAATTGTAACCGTGGACACACTTCAACAGGATTTTTGAACTACAGTTGAATTAGACCCCATCAGAACATGCTCGGCCACCTCACTGGAACCTTCCCTCTGCCCACAAGCAAGCAGATTATACTGATGGCGCCTGGTTGACCACTTGCTGGGACAAATGAACCTGCAGCCAGTTAACTTGCAGGTTTGGTTTGGTTAACAGGATACAGACAATGTCACTGACTTACCATATCACATGGCATTCCCCCAGTCTCCGTTTATTTTGCCAGATTGTATCCACTGTGTAACCGGCAACATTCCTGCACTTTGTATCAGACCTCTGAACTACACAGGGAGCCTTTCATAGCAGAACAGGTGGTTGAATGGAGAAAGAAACCCATCTTTATTTTACACATTCAGGGAAACATAAATGAGAAGCATGTCTGCTATGCTCATCTCCATCTCCCTGAGGAAAAAAGACTTCATCACAAGCGGAGGGAAATAGCTCAGTGGTAGAGCGTGTGCTTAGCATGCACGAGGTCCGGAGCTCGATCCCTAGCACTGCCATTAAAAAAAAAAAGACTTCACAAAAAATCTAACGCCTTTATAGTTGGTGATTCCATCACTCACGGTCTAGAAATTGACCTTGCGGAAAGTGAAGGTGAAAAACTCCCTTCTTTGATAGATGCCTGAAATGAACTCAAATTTGGGTCTAAACACCACCTCTTTGAAATGAAGCCAGCTGCCTCCGTTTCTTCCGATGCACGTTCTGAGAAGACTGGGCAGGCAATATGCCAGATGGTTTAACTTGTCACATCGATCTCCAGAGAAATCACTGGTCAGGATGACGCGCTCATGATGATAAACAAGGGCTGATTGATGTAAACCCTGGCAGTTGCTCCCGGATCCACAAACATAGTCTGAACACACAGTACAGACCCCCGACAGCCTTCTCAGAGTTTCATCCACCGTGTTGCTCGCCTGTTACTATCCAGAGAGAAACACTGTTTCAGCTGGCTGCCCTCTGCTATCCAGCCCAACCCTCTGGCCACACAGATAAGGGAACAGAAGTCAAGAAAAACTCACTTGCCCAATTTCACAAAACTCTGTAACTTTGCCACACATTCCTCAACGGCCCAGTGTGAGTCCCTGAGCTTTCTGAGCAGGCAAAGCCCTCAGAGGCAGCTGAGGTGTGTAACCTGCCCAGAGCGCCTTCCGCCTCTGAGCCCTCTCCTGTGTTTCTGGTTAAAGACTCCAGAAGGAAACAGCCCTAGATCGTGGGGACTCACGTGCAAACAGTGCTGGTAACAGCCAGCCGCGCTGCTCTCAGTGTCCAGTGGGTGCCCTGAGGAAGGCAATGGCCAGCTCTTACCTGGCCCTGCCCCAGGTCTCAGAGGCCCTGGGGTCATCCGTCTGCCGAAGCCAAGATGACTGGGTGTGTGTGTTTCACTGAAAGAGGAATTTTTTTTTTTGGTGGAGGAAAAAAAGTCTTTATTGATAAATAGGTTACAGTGAAATAGAGTGATGGTTTTTAGGGGAATGAAAAAGCAGAATCTCAGTCTTTCTCCACCCTGCCTTTATCTCTCGGCTTCTGCCTTCTCTCGGGCCACTGTGGATGCTGAAGACTTGGTGGGAACGCCAGGCCTTCCTGGGACCTTGGGGCCTATCTTCCTGGCCGGTGGTGTAGGCCCCGCCTTGGACCCACTGCCCTTGGGAGGAGCAGGGGCCTTGGCTTTAGGCCCCTCCCCGGCCCCCTGGGCAGCGGCCTCTTTAGGGACCTTGTTCCTCATCTTCATCTTGCCTGTGGAAGGAGCACCATTTTCACCCTTGGTGACTGCGGGGTTTTGAACTCTGACTTCCAGCTCCCTCCCCCCGCCCCCCGCATTTCTCATTTTTATTTATTTTATTTTATTTCTCATTTTTATTTGACAGAAAAAAGTTGCTCTTGGTGTACAGATTTTAAAAAACCAACATGCCTTTAAGAAACATGAAGAAGTAGGAGAGGGTATAGCTCAAATGGTAGAGCGCGTGCCTAGCATGCACGAGGTCCTGGGTTCAATCCCCAGCACCTCCATTAAAAAAAAATAACCAAAACCTAATAATAAGAAACGCGAAGAAAAGGGGAACGGGCAAGCTCTAAGCAGACAGCCTGCAGGCGCCGGGAGGGCCCAGAGGTGACGCTCAGCCTGGCCCCACTCCTGTGGGCACCTCCTGATCCGTGTCTGTTCGAGGGCTCCGAGAAGGGCAGCCCTCCTCCCCACAGCTCTGGGGCCTTGAGGCTTTTCCTGATTTGCTCTAATATTTTTAACACGAGAAAACACTGTAAGACACAGCGTGGTGTCCTGAAGAGAGAGCAGCTCCCCGACCGCCGTCGCCCCCGGGGGTTCAGAGGGCGAGCGTTTCACCCACCAGGTCCCACCGAGTACAGGTTTGGGGACCCGCTCCTTCGGAAGGGCGGGCCCCTGCTATTTAACACGAACGGACACCGACTCAACA